AGCGGGCCAACGGGTTCTTCTTATTCCTCCATCTCGCTCATGTCGTACAATTGAATTGTGGGTAAAACAGGGCGGGACTGCGTTAATGCGTTAAAAAAAATATTGCGTTAATTCCAGGAATTAATCATCTTGCGTTAACGTGTTAATTTTGACAGCCCTAATAAATATATATATATATATATATATATATATATATATATATATATATATATATATATATAAACCGTTTAGTTTGAGAAGGAACAAACGTTATCAGTGAATTTTCCCACCTCAGCTCCGTATCTCTGTAGCCTCTCCAGACTTACGAGCTGTTTAATGCTGTATTCTGTAGTTTTGATGGTCAACAGATCTAACGTTGTTAGTTTGAAGTTTGCAACCCTTTCTGTTGTTGAGGGATGGATTGGGTGTTCTTTTAAAACAGGAAAAGGATAATAAAAAACACGACATAGTTTAGTAAATAATAGAATCCCTATAAAAAAACTGCTGACTATAAAGGGAACATGAATATTTATTCAAGGCACGGCTATAATTTTTGCTGTTTACCATATAAACAGTTTTTCTCACAAATATTTCCAGCTTAGGTTTTTTATGACCTGAGGGTCAACTAAGCCCAGGAACTCAGCTTTTGGTTTGTTTATCAGATATTTGTCGTGCTGTGGACTTGCTTCATTCTCCATGCATGAATCTGACGTCAGTGCCTGCGCCTGCTGAGCATAAATTATTCACTAGGAAACATTAATAGTGTTGATAGTTTTACAGAGCGATTCTCTGCAGGGTCCAGTAACTCCCGTTAACACAACCACTTCTGCCTCGCACCATAAATCTGGTTTTCACATCATATTTGAGAGCGTCTGACAAAATGATTTTTCTTTAAGGAATCCCAAACAACCCGCCCTGACGGATCGCAGTCATTAACGCTCTGTGATGAAGTTTGGACGAGCTGAAGCCTTTTGGAGATAACTGCTGAATATTAGTTCTGACGTGAGGAATTAAAAAAAGCGAGGATGCACCGATGAGATGGCAAAAAACATTCCTTCCTTTTTTTCCCCCACTTTATGTTTTGTGAGGTGCATTTCACACTTAATTGGCTGGCTGTTCGAGCATGCCTGGAAGCTAGACCCCAGGTAATATGGAGCTTTTCGGACAGTCATATTATAGATATCTTTCTTTGAACTGGCTTAATTTCCCAGTGGCCACGGCTGAAGCCTGCCCTCCATAAATCTCTTTTCCTACCAGGGTTGGAGGTGTATTTTCTTAGGCTCTTTTTGCAAGTCTGATTACTACGAATGAACCGTCCAAATGTAGGGGATTTTTGAGCATTTAGAAATGGAGAATCCTGCAGTGGCACTTTAAACCTCAGCATTACAAAACTTTTCAGATTACCTTTGTGAATCTGTCAAGCAGTATTTACTTTGATCTCTTTTCCATCTAAACGAGATTACTTTTCTCAGGATAATTTTACCTTTTTCTTATCTTAACAGAAGCAGTCGAGTACAAAACCTCCTTTTGCCCTTTTTATATCTAAGCACACTTGGAAAAACAATCTAGAAATATGTAAAAAATTCTTAAATTAAGTGTATGTATCTTTAATTTGCATAGGTAAATGAGAGAATGCCAATGGAATGATTATATTTACTCTTAAAATAAGATAATTAGATAATATTCACTTGAAATAAGTCAATAAAAATATCTTTTCTTATTTTAATTGTAAATTGTCTTGTTCCATTGGCAAAATGTCTTTTACCTCATCAATCCACGAACAAACGACTTATTTTAAGAAAAAAATGACTTCTCTAGATTTTGATTTTTTTTCCAGTGCACATTTGACCCTTTCCTTGTCTTGATATAATAATACGTAAAGTCTTGTTCAGGTTTCCTGTAAGAATCAAATGTAAGCTGAAATCGATCTGTTCTCTTTGCTTGCAGAAAAGCTCCCATTAGGTAAAAACTTTGCCTGTTTTATTAGAGGGCCGGGGCGACAGTGGCGTTGGATGTGGGAGTTTGCCCTGAAATCGAAGGGTTGACGGTTCAAGCCCCGACTCCGACTTTCAGTGTCGTTGTGTCCTTGGGCAAGACACTTCACCTGCATTGTCTACTGATGGTGGTCAGAGGGCCCGGTGGCGCCAGTGTACGGCAGCCCCGCTTCTGTCAGTGAGCCCCAGGGCAGCTGTGGCTACAATGTAGCTTGCCACCATCAGTGTGTGTGTGAATGGGTGAATGAATGTAGTGTAAAGCGCCTTGGTCAAGTCTCCTAACTTGAATAAAGGCGCTATATAAGTACATGCCATTTACCATAGAGATGCACTTATCATAAATTCAAAGGGCAATTTCTAGCCTCTAGCTTTTGCATTGCATTTACATGCAATGAAAATTTTTCCTCATCTTTTTTTCTTTAGGAATTAAAAGGGGGTTTTGGAAACTCCTGATTTTTTAAAATCTCTTCTGTGGGATTGTTAATGCTTACTTTGGCTCTAAGATTTTCAAGAAAGTTTAAAACATTTCTGAATTGAGGTATATCTCATAAGAGAGAGAGAGTAAAAAGCTCGTAAGGATTCTAAAGCTGATCCTTTGCTGTACTTTTGTTCAGCCTTCCTTTTATCTGCTTGAAAGGTGTTACTTTCTCTAATCTTTTCACAGCTAAAATGTGATATGCCTCAACTCATCGCGGTCTTCCTCATGGAGAAACAGGTCCATCCTCATTGATGTTGCTGCTTTCATTGATAGGGGAAAAAAAAGAATCAGATTTTAAAATGTTCTAACCAGCTGATCTCTACGTAAGCTGACTAAGCTAAAAGTTCAACATCAGCAGCTGGTCTATGTGTTTCAGAAAACAGGACAAAGTACTGCTAGTATTAGGAGCTAAGGGCCCAATAACACTGACAGCATTGTTGTTCAGTTTGGATCCTTGTTTGTTCCTCCTGTGGGGTCCATAAGCTACATCCCTGGTTGGCTGAAGGTCGGCCTAAATTGTGATGTTGGAAGGAATAAAATCCTGCTTCTTCTATTGTTTCCTTTGTGACTTTTTGCTTCCTGAAACGCTTCTGTGAGGAGCACATCCACAGCTTTACAGCTTTAGGTGGAAACAAACGAAAACAACCAAAACAATCCTGATTAGGGATACATAGAAATCCATTAATTGGAGCAATTTATGTATTCATTATTCATCCTAGATGTTAAGAGCTTCACTGTTCTGTTAAAATATGTCAAACTGACGCAAAATGTCACATTTTAAGTTAGTTATATATGGTCTCTCCGTTACAAAGAGTATATTATACATATAAAGAAGGGTTTTCCATTAAAAATCATTAAGTCATAAAATTATTATTGTTTTTTTTTAAATTAAGGCCTTAATTGGCATTGAAATTCATTAAATTTGATTATCATGGCATTTAAAATACTTTATTCAAAAAAAAAAATGTTTATAAAAGCAATTTCGTCCGATATATCATGATACATTTGCGTGTAACTGCTTCCAGTTGATCGTAAAGCCGTATGTTCGGAAAAGAAGCTTGGGGCGAAGATAAATCTAGAGAACGGGAAAATTATAATTTCAATCAAAGTGCCCCGAAAAAAAACAGGAATATTGGGACATGGCTGCAGCCTGTCGACTGTAAAGATGATGAAGGATTTTGCTCTGTTATATATATGAGAGTCATGGGTATTTGTTGATGGCATTAAAATTATTTCTAATAGCAATAAAAGAGCGTTAAAAAGCATTAAATTACAGTTGATCATTCCTGTATAAACCCAGTAAAGGCAAAAACATTCAAAAAAAACAACAAAAAACAAATACTTGAATTCCTTCTTCCAAATTTTGGTTTTTAAACAACTATAACTATAACTTCGGTGAAATAATGATACAGATGATTGAGAAAAGTATATATAAAAAAAGTAACTAATAAAGTGTTAAAATGTCAAATGATCCCATGGACAGATGAAAGCAAATAGCCCGAACGCAATTTCCACCTTCAGTAGCACCAAGATGTTTTGTTTCTCCAGCACACAGGATTCTAGAATACAAGCTATTTAAGTTTAGGGAACACCCCAGGCTCCTTTTGTGAGGAAATACAGGAAGTCTGGCCTTAGTTTATCTGAAGTGAAGCCACTGATCAATCAGACATGGTTAAATCGCTTCAGGCAAACAGCCTCAGGTTATTATTTTGGCTTCTCTGACAAAAATATGCTGCTTGAAATTAAAACACTTGATCCAAGAAATGTGTTAAAAGCTGGTAGCACGTAATCACTGCTCTGCGGTTGCCGTGCAGTGCTTACCATTGTTGCCTTGCGGCAAAAAGGTCTGAGGTCTGAATGCAAAGCAGCCTGCTCTGGCCTGTGATGGACTACCAATATGTGCAGGATGAGCCCGTCTTGCCCAATAACCGCTACAGATAGACGCTGAAGCCCTCCTGCAACCCTCCATGGTTAAGCAGGTATAGATGATGGATGAATGAACCATTCTGAAGGATGCATTCTTCTAGTTGAAAGTTAATGCACTCAGCATTAAGACCTGCAGCGATTTATAGCTGCTGGAGGAAGGAGGGTACCACCTGGGTCGTATCGTTCTGCACATAATAATCATTTTAGAAATGCAGACTGGAACTGAGAACATCAAATTGGAATAATTCAATATTCTTTTACTCAAACGTTAAAAGCTGCCTCTCAAAATTACTCCTATCAGAGCTGGAGGGAGTAATTCCAGTTCCTGGTGGCCGGTATCCTGCAGCTTTTAAATGTTTCCTTGGTCCAACCCACCTGAATCAAGTAATTAGATGATTTAAATGACTCGGGAAAATGACTCTGATTGGTCGGCCTTTCAGCACATATAATATGTTAGAGCTCTGATACTCCAGTTAAAGATTATTTAGTTAATAAATTAGTTTACAAGTATTTAAATGTTGATTAATTGCAATTAATTGAGTATTTCAGTCCCTTATGTTACATTCTTAATTCCTGGTTTGTTTTTAAGGTGGAACCTAACTGTTTATCTCAACATCTTGTAGACTTCCAGTGGGTTCAAGGAGACGTTTGTGAAGTGCAGCTGATGGTCTACAACCCGATGCCCTTCGAGCTTCGTGTGGAGAACATGGTAGGTTAAAGCAGAAAACAAACAATCATTTGGACAAAAAGCACAGCTTGGCTTGTTTTGGGGTTTTAAAGTCACACTTGGGCAATTTGTTTCTCCAGCCTCAATCAATAGAAATATGTTTTTATGGTTGTCAGCAAGCCAGAACCACCTTAAGCTAGCTGGAACATTTTCTGTGTGAAATGTATTCTAATTTTGCTGTTTACATCGAGCTCTGCTAATACGATACTTCAAAATATGCATAAAAAAACTTGATAGAAATAGATCTACTGAAAGCTGTTCTGGACAACTGGTGCAGAAATATATACACTATATTGCCAAAAGTATTTGCTCACCTGCCTTGACTCACATATGAGCTTAAGTGACATCCCGTTCCTAATCCATAGGGTTCAATATGACGTCGGTCCACCCTTTGCAGCTAGAACAGCTTCAACTCTTCTGGGAAGGCTGTCCACAAGGTTTAGGAGTGTGTTTATGGGAATTTTTGACCATTCTTCCAGAAGCGCATTTGTGAGGTCGCACACTGATGTTGGACGAGAAGGCCTGGCTCTCAGTCTCCGCTCTAATTCATCCCAAAGGTGTTCTATCGGGTTGAGGTCAGGACTCTGTGCAGGCCAGTCAAGTTCATCCACACCAGACTCTGTCATCCATGTCTTTATGGACCTTGCTTTGTGCACTGGTGCACAGTCATGTTGGAAGAGGAAGGGGCCAGCTCCAAACTGTTCCCACAAAGTTGGGAGCATGGAATTGTCCAAAATGTCTTGGTATGCTGAAGCATTCAGAGTTCCTTTCACTGGAACTAAGGGGCCAAGCCCAGCTCCTGAAAAACAACCCCACACCATAATCCCCCCTCCACCAAACTTTACACTTGGCACAATGCAGTCAGACAAGTACCGTTCTCCTGGCAACCGCCAAACCCAGACCCGTCCATCAGATTGCCAGATGGAGAAGCGCGATTCGTCACTCCAGAGAACGCGTCTCCACTGCTCTAGAGTCCAGTGGCGGCGTGCTTTACACCACCGCATCCGACGCTTTGCATTGCACTTGGTGATGTATGGCTTGGATGCAGCTGCTCGACCATGGAAACGCATTCCATGAAGCTCTCTGCGCACTGTTCTTGAGCTAATCTGAAGGCCACATGAAGTTTGGAGGTCTGTAGTGATTGACTGCAGAAAGTTGGCGACCTCTTCGCACTATGCGCGTCAGCATCCGCTGACCCCGCTCCGTCAGTTTACGTGGCCTACCTCTTCGTGGCTGAGTTGCTGTCGTTCCCAAACACTTCCATTTTCTTATAATACAGCTGACAGTTGACTGTGGAATATTTAGGAGCGAGGAAATTTCACGACTGGATTTGTTGCACAGGTGGCATCCTATCACAGTTCCACGCTGGAATTCACTGAGCTCCTGAGAGCGACCCATTCTTTCACAAATGTTTGTAAAAACAGTCTGCATGCCTAGGTGCTTGAATTTATACACCTGTGGCCATGGAAGTGATTGGAACACCTGATTCCAATAATTTGGATGGGTGAGCAAATACTTTTGGCAATATAGTGTATATTGTTGTTTAAAAAAAAAATCTGATCTTTAAAACATCATTCAGTTAATTCCACTCTTAAGGAACATAAATGTTGATGAGAATTAACTTAATAATTCTGAGTTTCTTAACTAGTCCCTGAAAGCTTACATTGAAAGTGCCTATATTATGCAAAATCAAAATTTTTGAACATTTAACTACTTTATAATGCTAGTTCTTCATCAAAGTCATGCAAAAAGTGATACTTTTGATCGAATCATGCATGTCTGAGCCATCTCCATGAATTCTGCTCTGCAGCCCCTTTCTGTCCTCTGAAAAAGGAGTGATGTTTACATAAGGCCGAAGTGTGGGTCAAGTGAGGTCGGATGGGAGGTGGGCACTGGATCCCTGTGCACTTCAAACCTGGCAACACCCTCAGACAAAACTTGTTCAGCCCAAAGACAAGACAACTAGAAACAAGAGCAGCAACGTACTTTACGCTGTTCAGTGTAGCGAAGAGTGCTCAGACCTTTACATTGGAGAGAAAAAGCAACCGCTAAACAAACGCATGGCTGAACAGAGGAGGACCGACTCTTCTGGACAGGACTCAGCTGTTCACCTACACCTGAAGGCTAAAGGACACTCGTTTGAGGACAACAACATCTGTATTCTGGCCAAGGAAGACAGATGCTTTTAAAGAGGGGTTAAGGAAGCCATCCTTGTTAACCTGGAATAATAACGATCTCTAAACAGATGAGGTTTCACTCACGTATAAAACACTTTTAGGAACATTATCCCAGAAGATTCACCTCTCACCTGACTCCCACTTCAATAAGGGATTTGACCGAAACCACTCTGACAAGGGAGTTAAGGACCCATCAGAACCCCCTAATGACCTCTAACACCCCCCACATGACCTGCCTGGTCAGTCCAGCGGGAAGAAAAAAAGCCAACTTTTGTTCCCCTTAATTCTTTGCTCCACCTAAGGTATATCAATCTCAGTGCTCCCCACCACTAGATAGAACCGATGAACAGTGTTGCCAGATAGAGTAGAGGTTTTCCAGCCCAAACCTGTTTAAAAAAAAACGCCACATCACACAACAACCTGCCCAGTTAATTTATTGCTATATTTACTGTGTGAAAATGGACAAACTTCAGTACAACTTAATTCAGTGTGTTTCTCCATAAAATTTGACCCAGCTACCACAGCAATGTCAGATCCAGTGAGTGTCATGTGACACATGACATACCGGTTCTAACATGTTTGCAGATGGATTCATAACCACGTAGACTACTCCTCTTTTTACATTTAGAAGACAAACTACGATCAGTGCGCACACACAAATAAGCTAAGCTTATTTTTGCATAACTAAAATATTTAATTCATATAGGTAGATTTTGAATTCTTTCCTTTAATGCTTATTAAATTATTGGTTGGAACATTGACCATCTAAACACTGAACTTTTACTTCGATGAACTATAATACAATTCATAGCGATTGGTGATCACTGTTGGGGAGGAGAGAATGCTGCTGATGTCCATCCATTCCCTGTTAGTCAGGTTCGCACATCCATCAAACTTGACAGGATCGGGAGTTCTAATGCGATTTCTGGACTCGTCTTTAAGCAGAGCAACTTCTGAAAAAGCTCTTTCAACTGGTGCATTTGATATAGGCAGGTTGAGGAGTTAATTGCACCAACCGCTAAATCCTGACAGCAGCGGTTTCAATTCAAGTCAATTCAGTTTATTTCTATAGCGCCAATTCACAACACATGTCATCTCAAGGCACTTTACAATCAACCAGATCATACAGTCAGATTGATTCAAAGTTTTCTATCTAAGGAAAACCAGTTGATTGCATCGACTCTTTCACTCGAAGGCAATCCCTCCCATTAAGCATGCTTGTAGCGACAGTGGAGAGGAAAAACTCCCTTTTAACAGGAAGAAACCTCCAGCAGAACCAGACTCAGGCAGAAAAGCCGAGACACACAAAGCAGCTATAAAAGGCGTCCCTGTCCAGGAAACACACAGCCGGGCAGACTTTCCTCCAGCATCTTTAAAAGATTCCTCATCCAATCAGAACACATCAAATGTCAGCGCTAGATTCATCACACCAGATCCACCTGCTGCTAAAACTAGCATAATCTGTGGCGCCACTAAACTAGTTCTCTGTTGTAAACACCATGGCAGATGACATTAGCCAGTCAGTGATGGAGGAAGGTCAGGGAAGTGAACCAGTTTTGATGAATGATTGGTGGATATGTGTTTTAATAGGTTAACTTTAACACCGCCAATCTGATTCTGAACCAGCCCAAATTATCTCCACCCGCCCAAAGCAATTTTTACCCTCAAAATTAAAATGAAAACCGTCCAATCTGGGAACACTGCTAATGAAGCCTCTTGATTGAAAGGCAAAACATCTTCTAGAAAACTTCACGTGCAGTTGCCAAGACTAAACTTTTTCAAGCTTGGCTCAAAATTGAGACAGAGTGCATATTTTAGCAGCTAACATGCATAGATATGGCAAGCAGTCTTTTTTAAAGCTAAGTCGTGAGAATGTGGTTTTACGCAGCGACTTGACTTTGTTCAGTTTTGATACGGCAGCATTATGAAATGAGAGGCGGCTACAGTTTGAAGGAAAGTGTTTTTTAATCCGGGACAAAAAAAAAACAAACTTCTATTTCATAACAAATGGATCCTCTGTAGAGATAAATGCTTTGTTTTGTCACTTGAAAATCCTTTAGTTTATATTGGAAGGCTTAAAAAAAGCTTGATATAGAACCTTTAAGTTTTAAAATGACAGAAAAAAAACAAAACAAACATCTGATGCAAATGGAGCAGACTCTTCAATAACATATTTATTATTTCACGCATTTTCCCAGTTTGAACAGAAAGATTTGATGCTGTCTGAGAGGTGAGATCAGTCAATTTCAGTGGAAAATTGAGGTTTAAAAGAGCCATGGGACATCAGGGAGTCCAGTTTAATCAGCTCTGAAAGCTGTTTGTTGACAGCAGCTGTTTAAGCTCTGAACATTTTTTTTTATTAAAGGACCTCCAGCTGGAGCACAGACCAACACCTCAGTGACATCTATTTTTCATTAACACACTCTGCTACTCCCTTACCACTACTTGGGGAAAATAGACATGCACAAGAGCAGGGCCACTGTTTGGTTGTTTTATTTTATTTTTTTTATTTTGCACAAGATTGGATTAGAGTTTCTTCTCTTTACTGCTGTGTCTTTTTTTTTTCTTCTTCACAAATGCAGTGATGTTAGACAGCCAGACCAGCGATAGCTGTTGGATATCAGTCACACAGAAAGGTCCACAAAGTAATACCTGCCCAAAGTGACGGTTCTTTAATCATTGAGAAAGTAGAAAACAAGCAACTAAAAGAAGTTGAGTAAACACAGAAAGTGGGCTTTTAATTTCAGCAGCTGTCTGAGTTGATGGCAAACAAACTTGGTCTCATCTGTTCGTTCAAATCTTCTC